TTTCTCGGCTGCTGCCGATTTTTCGGGGGACTGTCTACGCCTACGTTGAACTATGGTCTTAGCGGTCGGGCTGATGGACAGCTGGTGGCAGGCGACCTCGGGGTCGAGTTCGGGCATTTCTGCGGCGCTCCATGCGAAGAGGTCGGCGTTCTCGCGGAGGCAGGCTTGAAGCTGTCTTTTTGCAAGGTCTGGGAGTCTGGTGCCGATCTTCACGATTCTGCTCTTGTCTGTTTCGAGTGTGATGATCTCGAATTCTCCGTCCGGGATGGGGCACGCAGGGTGGGTGGGATGTCCGTTGGCTTCGCTGGTCTTTACTTCGTGATCGCGCTCCTCGGTGAAGAGACTGTCGAGGTCCACGGATCCGACCAGCTCCTTTGATTCGCTTTTTGGCGTTGTGATTGGAGTCGCCCTCTTGGTTGCTGGAGCGATGGTGTCCAAGCCTTTAAGCGCGGCCTCGAACCACCTCCGGACGGCCTCGATGTCTCCGTTGAGGGTCACCACGGCCCCCCGTTTTGTGTAGTATTTCATCTTCAGGTGGACGGTAGAAGGTACCGCGGTGAGTTCTGCTATCGTTGTTCTGCCCAGGATACAGTTGTAGAGGGACGGGCACTCGATGACTAAAAAACGGATGCTGATCTCCTTGGCCGTTTCCTCTTCTCCGAAAGTGACTTTCAGCTCCACGTACCCCTAAGGTCTCGTCGTCGTCCCGTTGAACCCCTGAAGGTCGGAGCCTACGTAGGGGGAAAGGTTGGATTCGTTGAGTTGGAGGGTTGTGAATAGGTGTGTGTACATGATGTCTACCGAGCTGCCCCCGTCGACGAGGATGCGCCTGACGTCGAAGTTCGCCATTCGTGCCCATATGAGCAGGGGAATGTTGGAGTTGGGGGATACCCCGGGGAGTCCCTCGAGGTAGAATGTGATCGGGTTGGATCGACCGCAGAATCTTTCGAGCGTGCTCATTTTTCCAGAGCTGCTCGTGATGAGTTCGTCGAACCTTCTTTTCATTGATCCTACGGACAGGCTCCTTGTGGCTCCCCCCGAGATGACCATGGCTCTGACGAAGTATTCCCATCGGCTGGTTGGTCGGACTGTCTCGCTGGGTAGGTCGGGGCCTTCGGGGAGGCCGAACTCTCTGTCCGCGAACCAATCCTCGGGACGGCCAACACACAGCGTGACCTGGAGTCTGCTGTCGTCATCCGGAGAGGGGAGTTCCTCGATTTTCTTGGCCTCGGGGGTTCACCCCCCCGGGTGTATCTCTTTAGGTGGCCGTCTTTGATCAGAATTTCGATCGCGTCCTTGAGATGGATGCAGTCTTCGGTCACGTGTCCGTGGCTTCTGTGGAATCGGCAGTATTTCAATTTGTCCACTTTGGGTTTGGGGGGTGTCGGGCGAGGGAAGCGGACACCGCCCTGGACAAATTTGGTTTTGGCGCACTCGGTCAGTATGCGCTCGCGGGAAGCGACTAGGGCCGTGTATTCCGTGAATCGACCGGCAGGGCCGCGTTGTTCGTGTTGCTCGCGTGGTTCGTGAGGGCGGTCTTCGCGACGACGGTCAACTCCCCTTCGATGGCTCGAGGCTCCGTCATCTCTGTGTCCGCGAGGGGTCTTCCTATCTCGGGTGTCTCGTGCGGAGTTGGCTGCTTGGGTTTCCTTGAATCGGATATAATGCGCGGCTCTATCGAGGAAATCCTGGAGGGAGGTTGGTCGGTGTATGCCTACCGCCTCGTAGAACTTTGAGTTGTGGCGTAGACCCTGCTCCATTAGGTAGCGCTTCATCTCGTCGGATGTTGTTACCTGTACTGCTTCCCGGGTAAATCTTTCGATGTACTTTCAGAGAGGTTCGTTGGGGCCTTGGATTATTGCCCCGAGGACGGCCTCTGTCTTCGAATGGCGTCGGGACGCTGTAAAGTGTTTTGAGAACAGGTCCTTCAGGACTCTCCACGACGTGACCGATTCGGGCTCCAAACTTTTGTACCACGTCATGGCGCCTTTCCTCAGGGTCGTCGGGAAAAGCCTGCACTTGATAGCTCCTCGGATGTTTCGGTAATCGAGCATGGCCTCGATGTCTTCCAAGTGATCGTCTGGGTCGGATGTGCCGTCGTATGTCGATAGTGTCGGGGGCTTCTCCATGTCGTGGGGGATGGAGGCGGCCATGATTTCCCAGGACAATGGAGTACGGTAGTCGTCCTCGTCGCTGAGGGCGGGCGACTGAGGAGGAGACGAGCCGTTTAGAATAGGCACCTGGTTTCGGGTCCTCAGCCTCCTGACCGGGGGTTCGACACGCGGATTCCTGGCGGGGATCGCCGAAGTGTTCTGGCGCCTCCCGCAAACTTGTCTCGCTGGGGATCTGGTGTGTTCTCGCACCACTTCTGTTTGGGGTCTCTCCAGCCGAGGTCGGCGATTTCTGGGTCGAGGTGAGGGACTTCTCGAGCCTCAATTCTGGTCTTCCCGCAGAGGGGACCTCGGGGGGGCCTTCCCGCTCGAGCGCTCCAATTCGTACGTTCTGCTAAAATAGCAGTTGGTTCGTCTGGTTGATGGCCGCGAAGAGGGCGGCCACCGTTGGGTCCGCTCCCGCTGGGATAGGAACGGGTTGGAACGCCGCTGGGCTCGGGGGCCGGTGGTCGGCCTGGCGCAGCAGTTCTGCGGACGACGGAGAAGCAGTCTGGCCGTCTCTCTCGTCGGTCTCCGCCGGATGTGACGTCTCCATCTGCTTGCTTCTGTTGGTATCGTCGTGGTGTGGGCTAGCCATGATCGTGGAGTGCTGGTGAAACTTTGGTTTTCTGCTCGGAGTAACGGGGAAGTTTCTGTTCCCACAGACGGCGCCACTGATCTGTCCTGATCAGAAAGGGATCACGGGCTGGCCACACGCTGTTGGACTGCTGCCTGTTCACCGGTGATGAGGAGGAGAAGGGGGGTGTACCTGCAAAACACTCTGATGCCAAAGTAAGGAGTTGGGCAGAGTGAGAAGGGGGGTGTACCTGCAAAACACTCTGATGCCAAAACACTCTGTGGAAGAGGGTATTTATAGAGAGACCCCAGCGCTAGGCCAACGGTCATCTGAGGTGGGCTGGATGACCAAGCCCAACCCTAATGACTGTTAGGGCTTACATGGCGTAGTGAAGACCAGAACGTGGTCTTCGCCCTAGTCCAACCGTCCTGTGATCTCCGGAAAGTGGGTTTGACCTGCTCCTTCGGAGGTGGGCAGTTGGGAGATGACGTGTCCCCGCGGAGGGGGGCATGTGGAGAACTTGCGGCTGGCACGTTGTTCTCCCCGTGGAGAGGAGCTCGCGGGGTTCCCCGGAGGCACGTCGTCCTCCCCGAGGAGGGGAGCACACGAGGGCGTAGGAGAGCCATGAGGTCCTGCTCGACAGCATGGGGAATACTGCCCGCGGAGGGTGGTGCGTGGTCGTGTGGGCGATTCACTCGCCCGGCGTGGACGGGATGGTTTTCCCCCACGGGAAGATCATTCTAGTGAGTCGGGGATCTTGTGCCCAACGTGGTAGCTCGGACCGGGCAGGGCTTGGTGGAACATTATTAGGCTGGGGCAACATAGTTCATCCCGGGGCCCAGTCCAGAACAAAATGCATAAAGTTTATCATCTAATTTTACTTGGCAAAACTTCATCTCGATTTTCTACGGTCGTTGTCCTTCCAAAACTACCTTCACAATTTTTGAATAAACTCATCTCAGCAGTTAATTTAGTTCACAAGTCCTTACTATCATAAGCATACTTTTCAATGACATCCAAAAGACCTTGGGTAGTAGACTTATGTTTTTCATATTCTTGACTGAATCTACAAGATGGATTTAACCAATAACCAGCAGCATGAAGATTTTTGCGAAGTTGTGCATCCCAACGGTTATCTAAGATCCTCAAATAAGGCTCTACTTTCAGCTTATTTCTTCTAAACCTCTTCTCAATCTCCTCTCCTACTTTATACATAGCTCGATAGAGATATCCCATAGCCGTTTTATCTTCACTATCAACAATATGCAACACACGTACAAGAGGTTCTGTAATTTTCACTATGTCAACACATGTAGACCAAAAGCTTGAGTCTAATACTTGTTCCACAAATTGCTTTGCCTTGACATCTTTGGAATAAGTTGTAGTTGTCCACTCTTTGAAAGTTATCATGGATCTTAGTGCATCTTTATGAGACAAAATACTTTGCAGTGCAATAAAATTAGTAGCAAAGCGGGTTAGAGCAGGACGAAGTATTTCTCTTCCACCTGTATTTTGTCTCATCAAATACAATGCAAAACAATGACTATATATGTATTTGGTAATTTTTGAAGCATGTGACACTGCCCCACTTACTTCCTCTAATTTTCCCATGTCTTGCAACATCAAATTAATACAGTGTGCTGCACAAGGAGACCAATACAACTTAGGAAACTCCTTTTCCAACAACTTTCCAGCAGCAACATAATTTGCAGCATTATCTGTAACGATTTGAACAACGTTTTCTGGGCCAACATACAACACTACTTCCTTGAAAAGCTTAAACAATGTGTCTGCAGTTTTAGAAGCACCAGAGGCATCAACAGACTTTATGAAAACAGTTCCTTTGGGGCAATAAACTAAAAAGTTGATAAGAGTTCTTCTACAACGATCAGTCCACCCATCTGCCATAAGAGTACAACCTGTATCCTTCCAAATAGAACGATATTGCTTTAGCTGTATCTTCACGTCATCAACCCACTTATTTAACAAATTACCACGAAGAGCATGCATAGTAGGAACTTTGTATCCAGCACCCATGCAACAAAGAGCATCAACTGCTGGTTGAAAATAAGGCGAATTTGCAGCATTGAAAGGAATAGACGCATCAATAAACCACTTCGCAATAGCAAGATCACACTTTTCTACCACTTCTTTACTTTGCATCGCACTTTTTAAAGTAGGTTGAGCTCCCGGAGTTGTTCTGGGTAAAAAATAAGTACCAATGCGAGCATCATTCTTTTTAGATGCACCAATTCGTGGATGCATTTGCATTTTCAATTCACCCCCTCTGCAGAAAATGACTCACTTTCAGCCACATCTGGAGTTTTTCTTTTCTTGCTCCGCTCATTAAGATATTGATTCATCCGAAAACGAATTTCTGTAGGAACTGACTTACAAATTTCAACATTTCCTACTACTCCCGCCAAGTGTTGCTTTACCCTATGAATTCCACCTCCACCAAACGCTTTGTGACAATAGATACAAACAAGATTTTTTCCATCAGGACTTTTAGTACAATGTGCCCAAGCTATATCAGTCTTTTGTCTAACATTATGTTGAACTAAATTAGGAGTTGAAGAAGCTTCTTGTGATGGTGGTTGTGATGATGGTGTTTCAGAAGATGTCATTTTCCTGTAAAACAGAATATATTTTTTTACAAAAAAGCAATTAGAATCTTTACTTAAAATCATTACTTATTGCAGCATGTAGAACAAAGTGAAATGTTAAAAAAAAATTATTGTTTGGTTTATTGTATGCAATAGAGACAGTTAAATTGAAAATGCACAGCATCAAAATTAGATCCAGAATATATCTGACTATCTGTGATAATATTTGAAATACACCTAATTATCCAGAATATATTTTAACAAAAGGTTGTCTTGGAAAATGACATGCCCAATATTCATGTGTAGTAGGAAAGGTAAAAAGGGGCAAGAAAAATGATGTCTAGATCTAATATGATGTGTGGTATGCGAATCAACATACTAATGTTGTGCGGAGGAAGGTTCAGGAGCAGCATGAGTCACCATTCCAGATGGTTGTTTGAGAAGCCCTTCTGTAGGAAATATTTTGACTAAAACAGAGGAAATGGAGATTGATCTTGATTAGATCAAAAGTATCAAACTCAAGAAATAGAACTATGGCAGAGATTTTATTCACAGCAGAGGAAATAAATGGATTTGGATTCTCCATACTGCAGGGGATCTAGATGAAAATAATCGAGAGTACTCTCAACCAATATTTCAAAGAGCAAACTCTTAACAAGCAAAGAATTCTCCCTCCAAAATGGTTAATAGCCCATACTTAACACTCGCCTACAAAACCAACTCTTTACAGAAGAAAAAAAACCAGCCTAGCCTACTGGTCATTCTTCTTGTAAAACTTCCATCTTTTGGATCCGTAAGAAAATTGGTCATTAGGTTCAAGATTCAGGTGCCTATCATATACTACTGCTTCCATGGTGAATGAGATGGTTGTGAAGGCAATGATGGGGACCAGGATAAATAACAATAAGGCAGAAGCCTGATGAAGAAGCATGAAGTTGACCATAATTACAGCTTACCTAAGGTAACCAACTTAAGCATCAATCACTGATCTTTCTAGACACCTGCTCATATTTCTGCAACCTTCACTACCACCATGTCAAGAATACTACCATTACCTATTATGTTCTTGTGATGATAATTGCTGGCGAAGAGAAAGAGCCCCCATAGGAACTAAGAGAATCTTGTAAGCCTATTATACGAAAAAGCAGAATAGGGGTCAAATAGACAGTTCAGAGTCTGTTAGATTCCGTTAAGTAACAATATGCTAATCTCTCATTAGTAGTCTGTGTTTCAACTCTATCAATAACTCTCAAAACAAAAAGTAAGGTATGTCTGAATAATTGAGATGTGACTGATTAATCTAGTGTGAAAGGAAAACTACATATTTGTAGGTATGAGCCTATAAGATAACTCAGAGTTTTAATCTTTTCTCCTTCATTCACCTACTTTGAGTCACAATGGTAAATGTTAGAGTGAACTGACTTGTTAGAAAACACATGGGCATATAATGTAAAACCCTTTCTGGGTTCATACGAAATCAATCCAACGAATATTGACCACTAAATTAATTAGAACATAAATCAGAATATTAATATCAAACATGTAGATGCAGTCCATAATTTCATCAGAAGATTATTATCAAACATGTAGATGCAGTCCATAATTTCAACAGAACAATTTCATCAGAAGATTAATATCAAACATGTAGATGCAGTCCTTATTGTTGCAATTGCAAACATAGAAATACCCTAATTTAATATTCAACAATTTAATCTTTAACAATTTCAAAAGAACAAAGTTAAATGAAAACAGAGAGGAGCATTGAACCTGGAAATTTGAAACGATATAGAAACCGGAATGGCGAGTCGTTGGTATATTGCGGCAGAGAGAACGAACTTGCAGATGGTGATGCGGAGAAGATAAGTGAAAACAACCGTCGTGCGACGTAGAGAAAGACGAAGGCGCGGTGGTGGAGAAAGAAACGGCCGATGGTGTTTGATCTTTTTGAAACGACGATGGTGGTCTGCTTGCTTTAGTGGTGGTGTTTACTCACTCTGCAAGTGCATTCTGCGTTTTGGTGGTGGTGTTTTTAAAACAATCAAAACAGTTTTTTTTTAATTTTTATAACTTTTGCATCTAAATTTTAATTAAAAAATAAAAAATCCATTAGAACCAGTCCAACCCTAAATCCGGTTTTTCCCGGTCCAAGCCGGTTTTCCCTGGGTTTTACCGGTTCAATGACAAAGACGATCGAACTAGTTAACCAAGCCGGTTTCCGGTCCGGTCCGGTTTTTAAAACATTGATACAATGTGGCTACTTGGTCAAACATTGCAGCAGTTTATCTAGCATCATATAATTAAAAAAACATACTTTAGCAGAGGTAGAATTTTGTTTTACGTTAAATGATTGAAATGTACTTTCAAAGGTTCTTCGTGACTATTATGAATTGCAGCTTGGGTTGTTACTCCTTAAGCAAGGTTTGTAAGCTCGTGGGTTTTATTTTCAATTGATCTAAAGTAAATTTATGAAACTTTTATCAACAAACACTAGTCTCTTGCTATGCAAGAAAAGTTAAAGCAACGTGATAGAAATGATGTTTGGAAACTTGTTCTCAAAGTTTCAACTAATCAAGTGATTGGTACTCGATGGGTCTTTCACAACAAGTTTGATGAAGATGAAAATGTTTTAAGAAATTAATCAATATTTGTTGCGAAAAGATACAATCAACAGAAAGACATAAATTCGGTGAAACCTATGCCCCTACAGCTCGATTAGAAGCTGTAAGGATGTTTCTTAGTTTCTTATACATCATGAATTTTAAACTCTTTCAAATAGATGTGGGGAGTGTGTTTTATAACAGTTACATCAAAGAGGACATTTTTGTTGATCAATGATCCGCTGTCCCGCGCAGATCAAAAACGAGTATTTTAAAAAATATAATAAAGCAACAATGACTCAGATGTCGATTCACAAGAATTCTTGATGATGAATTAACCAATTGAAAACGATTATGGGGGGGTTGTTTTGTTTTAGAATTCAATTAAGAAAATAAACAAAGTAAATAAGTGATTAAAACAGGTTAATCTACCGGTTCGACTACCAACTTATCATAGGTCATTATAATTCCAATTCCCTAAGCGGTTTCAATCCCTATTCGATTGCAATATTGAACAAACAAGCATTAACAATACTACACGAGTTATATTCCTAATCACTGAATTAAGCAAACTGTTCACCAAGTTAAGCAGACGGTTAAATATAGCGCAAATTAACGAAAAAGATAAGTCAAATGCAATTAAAGTAAGGAACATAGATCAACCGAATTAAATCCAATATATTCTATAAGAAACGAATTAAGCAAACAAAAATTATAGAACAAATTGGAAAGAAACTGAATTAAATTGAAATTGATAAGAACCTCAAAGAATTACAGAATTCAAATTCGGCAGATTTCCCCTTGGGATTAGTTCGCCATGGAATATGTGAAAGTAAGAGTAAAATTCGTGAAAGTTAGGTTATCCTACTCTAGCACGACAGCAAACCTTATAAACAAAATAAGGTTTGCATTACACACTCAACCGGATCGGAAACATAAACCAGGCCCAATAAAAATGACCTGAAACAACTTAATTTATACAGTCAGAAACTTCAACGAAGTATTCGAGACCCGTACACTCCGAATCAGATTCTTCGTCCAACATGAAAGTTGTAGATCTTTTTCTTAGCTTTCCAACGATTGGTAGAACGCCTCAATCCAATTCCTGTAGCTCCAATTATGAATTTTTTATTGAAAGCTTTTAATACTGAAAATAACAAACGAAAATCAAATAAGGCTGAAAATAAATTGAATTATAAAAACATCATAAAATAGAAAAATAAACAAACCAAACTATAGAAATGCTTAAGTCTAAATATAGAGGAATGTGCATCAAAATTCACTGATCAATCAACCTCCCAACATTATAATCCCTTCTTTTCCAAATCATGTTTTCAAACTGAAAAAAATTCTCTATGGTATGAAATAAGTCGATAGAGTTTAGTATGATCGTTTAACCCATGTTTTTGTTTGAAGACAATTTTAAAAAAAAGGAGAGGTTAATACAACTCTTTTCATCAAGAAATATTAGCATGACATTTTATTATTTCAAATTTATGTTGATGAAATTATTTTTGATTATACTAACAAATTCTTATATAAGAATTTTTTTGAGATGGTGCATATTGAATTTGAGATGTCTATGATGAGGGAGTTTTGATATTTCATTGTCATGAAAATTCGTCAATCAAAAGGAGAAAGATTTATCAATTAAGTCAAGTATTGTAAAGAGCTACTCAAAAGATTCAACATGGATAAAGTCAAGTCAATTTCAACTCCAATGAGCACTTCTTATAGCTTGGACAAAGACAAGGTATGGAAACTAGTTATATAAAGCAAGTATCGAAGTATGATTGTCTATCTTCTTTATCTTACTACATCTCATTCTGTTTTCATGTTTGCTGTGTGTCTTTGTGTTAGTTTTCAAACAAACCCCAAATAATCACATCTCACTACGGTAAAATGCATCGTGAGATATTGTCGTACCTCGAAAAATACGATCCTCGCGATGGCCGCGGAAAATACTGTTCGAAACAGAGTCGCCACCGAACTTTATTCATTCCAAGGATGGAATAGGAAAATATCGATAAAACCTTAAAGGAGATAAGAACATGGTCATCGCAACCAATATTCTAGGTTCGGGAGTCGGTTACGCAGAGGGAAGGTATTAGTGTTGCACCCCAAAATTTGCCCTCACAATACAAGACTTTATGTTCCAAGAAGGTTCACAAGGTTCACAAAATTCACAATTGGTCAGAAGAGTTGACAATTCCCTCAGACAATGCACCTCCTAAGCAGTGCATCCAAAACTAGGGTTTTGACTTTAATCAGGCTAAATGGACTTCCAAGACTTCAAGTGAGCTTCATAACATCTTATATGTGTATAAGAACCCCCATGTCAAGTTTCAAGACTTTTCTCAAAAGTTTGCTCAGTCAGATGATCAGATAAGTCAAAAGCAGTCAATGCAGTTAAAAGGTCAAACT